TATTTTTAAATTAACCCAGTGCGGTGAAAAAGTTTGGCGGAAATTGATAGTGACATAAAATTATACTAAAATAATTAAATAAACTGGGACGGTTGGTTAAGCTTCTACCTGTATGATTGATTCACACGACGCTTCTATATGCGCTTGTAGTTTTCTGTAGACAATTTTGAAGATTTATGTGTTTAGTTAAAAAAAAACTTAAATTTAAGCATCATATAGATTTTTGAATAACCTCTCTCTCTTCCATTTTCAGCGCTCTTCCAGTTCATCACGATTTCTCCCGACATATGCACCACAACTGCCAACACGCAAGGAATTTGTTACTCGGCCACCGACTGCACCAACTTGCAGGGCACCGCAAGTGGCACCTGCGCGGCGGGCTTCGGAGTTTGCTGCACGTGTGAGTAACCATTACCCTGAAATATTTTTAAGATAGCCAATAGTTCTAACTATGACGAAAATTTCATAACAAAGCGCTCAAATGCTAAAATGGTGCAAGCTGCTTAATTAAAGAGGGTATGGATATTAGATTTGATAAAAAGGTAAAATAGTCAATACTCAAAAAGCGCAGCTGTAAGATGAAGCTGTTTTATAACCAATATAATTATTCCAGAAATGCAGTAATAAAATTTGAAAAAATTTTTAACGTTATTATCTTGCTTTCAATTTATGATGCATTAGTCTCAATAGGTAGATTGTGACTAGCGATCTTGCCAGTAATTGTCCGTGTTTCGCGACTAAAAATAAAGGAATCAGGTGATTGAGAAGTTGAAATTGATATGCATTCAAATTAGGAAACTTAAAAAGTTGCTGCTCGTATGTTGAAATAGTCACAAAGTCCATTAGTATTTTATGATTTAATGCTTCGGAATCAAAAAATTTATTTACAATTGGACTTTGCAGTTACGCGCAATTGCGACTCGTCCACGAACGTCAACGGAACGCTATTCCAGAATCCAGAATATCCATCGGCTACAACCACTGCTCCTGGTTCTTGCAAACTAACAGTTGTTCCTGTCAATGAAAATATCTGCCAGATTCGTTTAGACTTGATGGAATTCACTCTAGCTCAACCCGATGAGAACGGGGTTTGTGCCGACGACTTCCTGCAAGTGACTGGGGGAACGACGAGTATCCCAACGATTTGCGGACAAAATAATTTACAGCATCGTGAGTGGAATGCTTTTGCCAAGTTAAATTCAATAGCTTTGCTTGAATTCATACTGGTGTAATTTGCCCGGAAATTTGTCCCTTTAATTTTTAAAGAACTGACTTAAATCAATGTTTGACTTTGTAGTGTATGTTAATGTGAGCCCTGGATCTGGGAGCGTCTCGATCAACGTTGACACCTCAATACCGGGGGCTAAGTGGAACATCTCCGTCACACAAATAGAGTGCAGTTCGCCATACCGAGGTGAGTGTAACCTTCATTTAATTATGAAAATTGTATGAATAATTTTATAAGTTGTCTCTAGAATTTCATGATTCCATTCAAATTTAGCGCCAACTATTTTATACTGGTACCTCAGAATAATTTTGCTTATAGGAGTATTAAAATTGCACTAATTAAAGTGTTGTATAGCTATGAAACTTGCTACTTTTTACATGTAATTGGTGCATGAAAAAGTTATTTTTTTAAACATATAAATGAGTGATGAATTTTTATATATTGCTCTAGGGATCACCCATTCAAAATTAGATTCTTTTTTTCATGATTGAAATAAAAAATATTATTTCTAAGACTGCATAATAATGCTTAGTTGTAATTTCAACTTATTCTCATATTCAATTCACACGACAGCCCCGGCGGGCTGCCTCCAGTACTTCACCAACACATATGGAACCATCAAAAGCTTCAACTACGACGCCACGACCTTCTCGACCACCACGACACCCACGGGTATTAAGTTAAATCAAATAGATCATTCAAATGATTGTTTGAATGTTTAAAGATTTATATTACGGTCAAAAACTCGAGAACCTTACTTGATTTTTGAGTACGTTGAGAGTACCAGTAGAAAACCAAGTAAATTACAAAGTCGCAAATCGAACCGCTGCTTTTATTGACGGAAGTACATAATTCATGCCTCGAAAATTATAAACATTTAAAGAAATTTTAAATATTAAACCAATGAAAATAAAATTGGCACTTTACCCTAGTAAAGAAGGTCTAAATATTCATAGTCATGATGCTAAGTTTGTCCCGTTATAAACCTAAAATAAAACATAATTGTACTCTGCTTCGTATATAATATAGGAAATTAAGTATACATGTATCATAAATTTTCTTAACACAAGTTTTTAATTCAGCCACCACGCAGCTAGCCAGTCAGGTATACGGTGCCTGCATCAAGTCACAGTCTGGCTACTGCAGCGTCGCTTACAAGAAAACTTCTGACATGCCCAATGACTTCACCTTCTCCATGAGTGGTGCTAATGTACTGCCCCCAGGCAAGTATGTTAGGCGAAAAGTATTCAGAGAAAAGAAATGATTTACGAAGGCCATCACTATATTTATTAGATTAGATTTCATTCCATTTTCCGAAGCTGAATGAATATATTCATATCTACTAGTTGTAATGCTTTTTAATGCAACCTTGAAATATGTGCTTTCCTGCAAAGAAATGTTAATTTCATCATGTGTGTTTATGATTTTATATCTATTTGCACAATACTGAATTTTGATATATTAACTTTAATTTGTTTGTAAACTTAAATGGATTATCCATAAAGCTTTCACCTAAAATGAAATTAATTATTGTTTTGCCCGTGCAGGAACTACTCCTCCTTCTTCATCAGGCAGTGTTGACTGCACCGCAGATTACGTGTTGATCCCCATGGGTACAATAACTGACACAAACACGCCAGCTGACCGTTTCTGCGGGTTAAACTTTCCTAATAAAGTTGAATGTGAGTAGAGTTAGAACAGTGCAAAAAAACAGAGAAAGTTGGATCTTCGCTGTTAGATCTTTTCGTCATAGAGGTAAAATGAAGTAGGACCTCTCAGTCAAAAAATGCTGAGGGATGAGATGAGAATTTATTTAGAAGTCTAATATCATGTGATTCCTGCTCAATAAAATCAAGTCAATTGACCTCTCTAAAAAGAGTAATGAGTAAGGAACACCTTTTCCATCATATGTTCAAAGTCAGTCGGACATTTTGCCTAAATTGTGAAATGCAGTAGAATCTCTTACTCGGAAAGTGAAAGCAGCATTCGCTTGTGATATGTACGTATTAATTGAATGATTCTGAAAAGTCTAGCAAAATTACTGTACATTGTTTGAGCATAATACTATTCAATAGTTTAGCGACGTTTTATGGTCAATGAACCCCACAACTTAAATATAATTGAGATGTGTGCCATTACAATTGTGTGTAATAATAATAGTACAATCGGGGAAATAAATGAAATTGCGTATTGATGTTGATTTAAGATTTCTATCTATTGGGATCATTCCTGAAAATATGAAGATATAACTCATCGAAGGAATGCCTTAAAACATATATAAGGTGAAACATTATATTAAGATCATATTTAACTGCTCTCATCTTCCATACAGCCTCCGTCCAGCCGTTTGCCCTCTACGTGGTCACTGATGGCACAGAAGCTCCCAATAATGATGGCTCCAACGTGGGCTTCTCCATCGACTACAAAATGCAAACTTGCTAGATAAGAGATGTTATTTACTTACTGTGTTATTGTTTTTGTTTCTCCTGCAAAAGTCGCTCATGAAAAAAAGCAATTGGAATAGCTCACCCCTTATTAGCCTGAATTTTGTAATTTATAATTCAAATTATATCGCAGAACTACGTAGTTCCGAATTGCAGTGCTTGACTTTAGTCTATTTACTAGTTTCAACGGTACATTTAATAATGTACAGTTTGGTGCGGTTTCATTAATGACCGTTTTGCTTCATATCTAAACGGAAGGAGGCTTAATGAAAAATTAATTTGTTTATTTCTGTACATGTGATACGCTATTATTTAACAGTCTAGAAAATATTAGAAAACGAAGAATTTTTTTCTTCTCAATGCCAAAAATAACGTGTGATAAAAATAACGTGTGTCCGCATTCATGCACGTGTGAACCACACACGATTTGAAAATGAAAAATAGGAGCTTTATTAACTTTTGGATTAAATTTTCATCTTATTCAACACCCCCAGAATTTGCTGAAAAATATTTTTTTCGTTAAAAAGTGTTGTAGTTGGCTTGTGCAAAACAAACATGGATTTACATCGTAAATAATTGGAAGTGTTAATATAATTAAATAATTAATATCCACAATGAGATACACACTGTTCTTTAAAACTTCAGGCGTCCTTAAATCCTGTTAAAAGACATATTCATTAAATTTTTCATTTTGGAACTAAACTGCTACAAGATTAATATTTGAACAAAGTTAATTAAAAAATGTTAGAAATACGGAAAGTTTAAGAGAGCTTGTGGCAAATGGGAGTTGGATAGTCAGCTGAATATTTAAATTCATAGATTGGAACCGAAAACTGTTATATTTGAAAGAGGACTTATACAGTAGAATCGGTTAATAATGGTGGAGATAAAAAACTCTCTTTCGATACTGCTCAGCGAAAAAAGTTGCTTAGGATAGTAGTACATAAAATGATGCTAGAAAGCTTATAAAATCAGACCGAGCGAAAAATATTTTCCTGTACGTTACACGCCAGATCAGAAAAAAGGACAAGAAGGACAAGAAGAGAAGTGTAATAAATATTGCTTTTCTTGAATAAAGTACCTGGTAAATGAAATAGATTTCAATACTACGCACAACATGACTTCAGTACCTACATTACTAAGAATTAATCACACTAAGAAATAAAATGCTTAAGTATAAAGAATCAAGTTATAAATTAATGTATAAAGTGGTATCGTAGTAGATTAATAAATCAAGCTCAAATTGGAAAATTTGTGTATAAACAAATTTGTTGCAAAAGAATATAACTCAGTACTCACCGCAGTGTGTGACAGAGCGCATTTTCTCGTCGACGAAAATGTGAAGTCACGGACAGACAGACGGAAAGACGGACAGACGGACATGACGAGCATAATAGCGCCTTTTTTCCATAAATGAGAGAATGCGATAAAAAGATTAAATTAACGATGAAACTTAGCTGTTCAAATATATCATTGAACAAAGAAAATTAATTTTGAAATGCGAATCATTTCCGTCCTCCAAAATTGTGATCAGCGTCATTAAATTTATTATTGAAAATAAAATTTCGCACTGCCACTGGAGGTTTAATAAAAAATTAGTATATCCGCAGTATCGTTAGTGCTCATTTAAAATTAGTTTACCTGCCATGAAGTGGCATAACATGTGTTTATTCATAGAGAATATGACAGTGATATTAATAACGAAGCACCTCTTGTTGACAATATAATCGCATGTCAGTAGCTGTACTGACTTATAATGAGCTAATCTGTTCAAGAATGTAATCAGTTCACAGCTGTTGCGCAAGCGATTATTTGAATACATTTCATATTAGGAACCAAGTTGGCATCGGTAAAATGGCTGTTGGATGTGGCATGTGACACCAATTACGTATGGTGGAGTGGATTGTAATTGTAAATTTCAAAATCATATGCTTGCGCATGATTTCGTATCAAAAAATATATTTTATTTCCGCTACATTTACAACATAAAAAATGACATGGTTTGAAAAGCTAAGAGCTCTCAGCTGCTTTCGCACTCATTATTTAGGCCTATAGTGTATTCTGATGGTATGAGCCTTGTACAATATAACGGATAAGCCTGGGGCAATATAATAGGAAAAGCCAAGTGAATTATAACGGGATAAGTCTTCTAAATTTTAATGTTAGAACAATTGATTACAGTACTCAAAGTCCTAGTGTTTTAAAATGATTTAAATATAGTTTAATAAAATACACAGTATCAAAGTACCTGAATCAATTCAGCACAATATACTAAATTATGAGATTTCCTGTTGACTATGTAACATAATTTATTAAAACAAATTTAAATATCAAATTTGATGCCTCAATAAAGTGCCAAAAATAACAACTTCAAACTTAAAAGAAAGAACATTTAAGACAAGACCTTAGTTTAAAACCAATACTCCTGCCGTAGATGAACGTACGTCTCGCTCTACGACATCCTAAGCAGGAACGAGCGAGGACAGCACGCTCGTAGGTCGACCGTGTCCACTTGACGCGGTGCCCTGCAAGTCGACGTCGGCTCGATCAGCATATCTTAAACCTATCCTACGCCTTTGGACGTCCTACAACGTAACCGATTATCACTAACAACGTATTTTTTTATTTTGAATATCTATTTTTCCAGCTTGCCTAAAGCTGAATATTATTTTAGTTTGCCGTACTGATTTTTGCCGGTCCCTTGAGCCCTGCACAGTTTGCATCCAGTAACACTGCGCAATAGGTATAAATTTCAAGTGACATGTATTAGCGTTTTACTCGTTATTTTTATTTAGTTGCCGTTAAATATGTTTTTGATAGATATGTTTAGTTAGATATGTTTATTTTTATTTATTTAATTATTTCTCGACTTGTACCTTGCTCATATATGAGTATTTTCCTTTATACAAGAGTATTAACTTTCTTAGCGAACGAATTTTTCTTTCTCCTATAGGGAAACGATTAATGCAATACAGCAACCTATCCTAGAAAGGCAAATAATTATTGCACTATGAGGAAATTGTTTATGAAACGATTATATAGATTGCGAAGGCACAGTATATAGAAGTTAGATAAGTTGCACTGTTACGGGGCACTTATTGACTGGGCGTAATTCGAAACTATTACCTGTTCCGCAATAACCCTTCAGGTTCGACACGCTTCTCGCCGTTCATCACACGAAGGAAACAATTAAAGACGACCAAATATTAGGATTTCATTAAAGACGAAAGATGACAACAAGTGTTTAAGAATCGAAGTCTAGTCTAGGCTTCGAAGGTCTCCCTGTACGAGAGATGAACATTACGACTAAGTTTACAAATTGGACAAGCCATAACACATAATAAAGCTTAACAAGAATTCCTAAAACCTAAACTTGGACAGTTATAATTCACACAATTAACTGCAAGATCATGAAATAAGACAACAGCACTGGTCCTACTTTAAAATATCCGATGATAAAGTACACAGTACACACCTGTTCCCTGCGGTGGCGCAAACTGAATAAGGCTATTAGTGGCTACTAACCCGAACTTCAGGGTCAATCCGGCAACATTGTGAACGCGTCTGCTTTATTTATTAAATAATATACTTTTAAAAATTAATTTTTAAAGACCACACTTCCAAAGAATCCAGTGTCTCCAATCTTACGGATGTACAATGAATTTATCATTTTATTTTTGAATATTAAAAAATAAATAAATCATTTATTTTGACATTTGATTCATGCATTGTCTCCAACTTTACACAAGTGTGCAAAATTTCAGATTGATAGGATAAGTAGAAGTGTGTTAAAAATCGATTACAAGATTTGTAGCAGACAGACAAACAAACAAACAGACAAGAAGTGAAGTTAAGGAGAAGTGTTGTAAAATACATTCAGAAAAGTATAGGTTTCACTCTATATACGGCACTAGAGCAGCAAGTTTTTGGTACTGTCGCCAATCGACGGTTCGGAGGTTGTTTCACTAGTTTACACGAGATGTGGTTGGGTAACGGCGAAATCGCTTCTATAACAAAGCTTCTGGAGAGCTATCCTAATTACTCACGTTCCAGATTGCCGAAACTATGCAAATATCCGTTCGGCTTTCTCTCGAGGAATAATTTTTTCTAGTCCATTGCTCTTGTAGAGCGTTCCGAGGGACGACTTTGGAATTTCTTTTTCATTTCATTTGAGAGTCCGGTGATTAAGGTGTTATTATTTGTAGCAGGTTAACATATAGAAGAAATGAACAATTATGAGAAGAAACAAATATTTGAATTTGCTACGAAGAGCATCTTTTCCTTAGTTACAGCCAAGTTCTTATGTAATGGCGCACGTGCTTAAAATTGTCGATGCTCAAATTTTTGTAAAGGAATGCGCTCACGAAAGGCCTTAAAAGTTTGAATTAGAGAAGGTCTTGCTCAAACTGTTTGGCATTTTAATTAGAAAGTAATATATATATAATTAATATATGAGATAAAAGTCCAACATGTTGATCCAGGATGAACATATCGAAAGTAAGTGTATAAAAATCCCGAAGAAAATTCGAAAGAACATTCCTGCCTTTGAATGAGATTCATCCGAACTCACCCTGCCAAAAGAAAAGGTTTTAAGAGAACCTGAAACGAGATTAAACTGACCCCGTCGTCGGAAAAGGCAGCAAGCGAAAGATCGTCTCAAATACGATTTTTCCTACAGATGAGCTTCAAGAGAAAACTCAGCTGCACGGGGAAAGTTTCCTCTGAACACACACGAGTAAGGAGAGCAAGACTGGTAGACAGTGCGTGCTGATCTGTCCTTTTGATCCTCCGACTAAATGGGCCACTACCTCAACGATGACTATGCACTTTCGAGCAAACATATATTTTTTTTTTGCATTGAAGTCTCACCGCTCCTGGAGACAGGGTTGGGTGTGAGTGAACGGTACAGAGTATAAAGTCAATTAACAATATTGTTTTTTGTATACACTAAACATGATTCAAGTAAATTAAGACACTCTAATGTTTTACGACTAGCTTAATTTTTACGTAGGAATAGCTTGATGCAACAATTGTTTCTTGATTTAATTTTTTCACGAGTGTTAGAGAACAATTATACACAATCGTGACAGCAACCTCAGTGATAATAAAAACAGAGTTATAAACATAAAAGTGGTTTGTGATGCATTTTTCATTCATGTTCTGATGAGTCTTGTTCTGAAAAAAAAATTAGCAGATAAAAATAAATTCCGTAATCTTGAACTACAAGTCGATCGTTTATAAATTCCATTGTAGGTTGAATTAGTCGGATAGACTTTATTGAATAACCCAATATTTTGATGAAACCGGAATTTATTTAACCATTCACGCGCATGGTTACTGGTCTATAAAGCCAAGCAGTGTTGGTAGCGAGACGACAGTTTGCATTTAGCTTGCGTATGGTTTGCACGGCTGGCGAACTGTAGTCAGGCGAGTTACGAGTGGTGGTCTTCGTACCTCATATGTGCACGATCTATTAGATATTTTAAATGCATGCATCTATCTGTGGTAAATACACGGAAATAAATCACTGACACATTTTTATTTGTCATTAAAGTAGACACTTCTGCATAGTTGTGAGAATTAATTGACAATAAAATTGATTTTCACGAAGAGAAGTCGAAATCCAAGCTCAGAATCTCCTCTCCAAAAAATGCAACCGATGCAAAAGTTTTCAATAATCACTGTTCAACTTGAGCCTTCCTCATTTCGCCCATAAACAACCGAAATAAATTTATTCGAAACATCTAGCTGCCGCTTTTATTTTCCTATTCTAATTGAAAATAGGTAGCTAAAATTTCGATTGACGAATTTCCCGGTACCTTCCTTTCATGAAACAACCAATGCTCACAACATAATCTTCGTTTCCAGATGACCATTGACATTATGAATTATTACGCGTGCGCTGTCGCCTGCTGGGCGCTGCTGGCTGTGGTCGGGCGAGCGACGCCGGCGAAGATCGAAGGCCTGGAACAGACGCAGGAAATTGATGATGTGGACTACAGAGATCCTCGACGTGAGTTCTAGTAAATTATCTACATTGAAATATTTATAAATGAAGCCACTGATATGAGTATATAAACCATAATTAATATTAAATAACAATAAATACTGGTATAATAAACCATACTAGTACATTTTCTATCATTCATTATTCTCAACGAACATAACGCTTGCAGGTATGTATTACACAAGCATTATGTGAAAACGCACTTGGTGTGAGTATCGATACCATTTTCAAATATTCACAAGGGTTTGGCAAACTAAGGGAAAAACCTGAGAAATCCACAAAATATATTTTAGTAAGTTGTAGGTCCACCGTTTCCGGCTATTACAGCCTCAATTTTACGAGGTATTGATTCGTTCAAATTGTGAATTGTTTCCAAAGGAATTTTAACACATTCCTCAGTTAAAACTCCCTCCAGCTCTTTTAAAAACGATGGCGGCGAGAATCGACTTCTGACTTGCATCTCTAAAACCGACCATAAATGTTCGATAATATTCAGGTCTGGTGATTATGTTGGCCAAATGAGATGCTCAACTTCATTGGAATTTTCCTCGTGCCATTTTTCAACAATTCCAACTGTTTGGGTAAGGGGTATTATGATCTTGAATGATGACGTTTTTCATAGGAAGCAGTGCTTGAACCATTGGATGAATTTGGTGGTCGTGTAAAGTTCCCAAATAGTCTCGGCTGTTGATTCTTCCATCTAGAGAAATCCTTTGTAAGCCGGATTTCCAAAAAATAGGAACTCAGATCATTACAGATCCACGGCCATCCATGTTTTACGGTTGGGTGGAGGCAAAGAGTGATATTTTATACTTGCACAGATCAATGTGTAGGGATAAATTATGATTTAGCATTAACAATAAACAATAAAACATAAAAATATGTAATGTTTTCATTGTTTATAACATGTTAAAAAATTACGATATCAAAATTTCAGCTGTTTCCCTTATTTTGTCAAACCCCTGCACAGCTCACTGTTATAAATTTCAGCAACTATAGGAAATCATAGATATGTTCAATGTTTCTAAAAGTAATTTTTATCTTAGTTTATGATTAAAACAAGGCTGAAGAATCAATAAGGCAACTTTTATGTAACTTATCATTTCGAACTGCTGCGGGCATATGAATAAAACGAGGTATTTAATACAAGCAATTATGTTAGAAAATAAAATCGTATTAAATAGCTGCATGTAATGCTGAACTAATTAAGGAGCAAATTCTTGAATCGCAGTCCTTAAGCAGAACTAAATAAAATATATACAAGATGATTGAAATTCTCACGAATTAATTTGATATCAAGAGTTTATATAAAAACTTTTATGTTGCATAACCGTAATTCTATATATGCCATGCCATGGAAGTGAAAAGTCCTATGTTTGTGAAAACTTCCTGAAGATTCTTGGGCAAAGTTTCACAAGAAAAATTAATTTTATTGTTTTGAAGACTTTTTAAATGTCTGATATTATCTCATTTGCAGTGATTCTTTTCAAGTTCATCTCGGTCGCCCATGATAGCTGCATCACCACAAGCAACACGCAAGGAATTTGTTACTCGGCCACCGACTGCACAAACTTGCAGGGCACCGCAAGCGGCACCTGCGCGGCAGGACTGGGAGTTTGTTGCACGTGTGAGTGACAAATTATGTGAAATTAGAGGTTTCAACAACAGAATAATTTTTTTTGTAAGGGAGGCATTTGGAAAGGGGTGACATCTTGAAATTGGCAAAAATTTCATTAGTCAGTTATAAGTTTTGAATTTTTTAAATGAATTCCCGTAGTATAATTGACGTGGTGAGCAGAGGTTTCAATGATTTTTCTTAGTTACAATTTTTAGAACCATGGCTTATTACAATTTCTGAAAATGGTGGATCGTAGAATGAAAATTGTAGGGATGTTCAGACCACTTAAATGGCAATTACAAGCTCTAGGAATAGGCTATCGCAGCACTAGTCATTTAGTCAAACAACGATGGCACTTCAAAATAGCATTCTTTTCTCCTCAATTTGTCTTGCAGTTACGCGCAATTGCGAATCGTCAACGAACATCAACGGAACACTCTTCCAGAATCCAGAATACCCTTCAGTGACAACCGCTGCTCTTGCTGCCTGTAGGCTCAAAGTTAGTCCCGTCAACAACAACATCTGCCAAATACGTCTGGACTTGACTGACTTCTCCATCGGCCAGCCCAATGCAGAGGGGGTTTGCGTCACTGACTTTCTGCAAGTGACCGGAGGAGCGACGAACATCCCTTTGATTTGTGGTGAAAATGCTGGACAGCATCGTAAGTTAGATGTTGCTTCCGTCGCTCAGTTATTATATAGAAATTTTGCAACGCTGTATAAAATATTTGAGGTATAAAGCAATTAGTTTGTATCTAAAATGTTTTAACACAAGTGTAAATCAAAAATTTGTAGAGGATAGTTTGAAATTATGCTTGCGCACCGTTCGCACGGCTGGCTAACTATATGATTACACATGAAAGATTTTGTAACCCTGATTGTCCATTATCTATTTTTATATTTTAAAAGCCTGCATCAACGTCTTGTAAATCGTCAGAATTGAACCATGGATTTATTTTAACTGCAGTGTACCTGGATGTGAGCCCCGACTTTGGGAGCATCACGATCAATGTTGACACCTCAACGGTCGGAGCCAAGTGGAACATCTCCGTTACTCAAATATCGTGCAACTCCCCCTACCGAGGTGGGTACATGTCATGAGTAACATGAGTAACGTATGAAAAATGCTGTCCAGCTTTACTGGTTGAAAATATTTCATTGCTGATTGTATTGTTCTATTTATATATAAGTTACGACCCGACGATTTGATCATTCGATCAGGTGAAAATATCACAAACCCATAAACTGTTTCTGCCGCCCACCTCTTTGAAAGTTCCCAATTATTATACACGAGGTGTTTTCTATAGGTCCATGATAAATTGAAAAAATCTTGCTAATGTTTTTCTCAATATAATGCACAGTTGTATTCATGAATTCTTAATCATTGGGATTCTATTCCACACGATAGCTCCGTCGGGATGCCTTCAGTATTTCACGAGCACATTTGGGACCATCAAAAGCTTCAACTACGACGCAAAAACAACCTCAACCACCACCGCCCCCACGGGTAATATAAATATCCTCCAGTTCCTCCAACCGATCCATTGATTGACTAGTGGCTAATTAATGGCAGCCTGGACATATGTGGTGGTCTTCGAGTTCAGTTGTGATTAAATGAAATTCGTTAGCAGGCATTATTAGAATTTTCGAAACTTCTGTGCGTTTTTTTGTTTGTTTATTAATAATGTGGTGAAGTGTCACGTCATCCATAAAACTTGTGAATCTTTCCACTGAAGTAAACCTTTCTATTTCTTAAATTTACTTTTCATGAAGTTCACTGCAAAATGCAATTAAATGGACGGGACACAAGACACCACGTTATGAAATAATCCGCAAATAATAATCTTACATGCTTATTAGCAACGAAACTAAATAAAGAATATTCAGTACCTTACTAAAACCTAAAAAGATCAAACTCAATTAATTATCTCTCATATACCATATTTAACTCGACAACAGCTACCACTCAACTGGCGAACCAGGAATACGGCGCTTGCATCAAGTCACAGACGGGTTTCTGCAGCGTTGTTTACAGCAAAACTTCTGGCGTCAGCGCCGACTACAGCTTCTCCATGACTGATGACCCTACCTCATATGCACCAGGTGAGAAACTCGCACATTCAGTGAATACACTCTACACATTCAGGGGATGCGCTTGTGAAACTCATAGCCCGAACACAGGGTGAATAAATGTATGTATCATGCTCTATCCATTTGTGCATGGTCCATTGTGGTCTGGGACTGCTACTGAAATAAATACTAAGGATACTAAGGGCAACGTGTCGGTTTGCAATGTCATTCATACCTAAGGGTTTGGTTCACAAGAGTTTATTTAACTATACAGTGGGTTAGATAATAATTTTTTGGCAACGACGGAAGTTTCATTTGCTTCTACATGGATTTTGAATGACTTTTAAGACCATAAAAAATTTAACTTTGTAGACCTCTGTAATAATATCTGATTTTAATATATATCAGTGACTTGGTCCTCCCTGTGTAGGAACTGTCATACCCGGAATGGTGAAGAGCTCAAACTGTTCAACGGATTACTTGGTAATCCCGAGCGGTATTATAGCCGACACAAACTTAATATATTCTAACATCACTGCTGCTGATCGCTACTGCGGGGCCAATTTCGCTGCCTCCCCAGACACAATTGCATGTGAGCTGGATATTAATCGTTTTTAAAGTGTAGAGACCACTAATATATCATTTAAAAGGAATTAGGACAGATTTTTTTGAAGAGGATATATTTACCTGTACATGGATCTTAAATTATTATTAATAAAAAAAGTAATAATAATTATAATAATAATAAAATAAGAACAATAATAATAGTAGTAATGATTATTCAAATTCTAATAATATTCGGAATGAATATTGAAAAACAATGAAAGATACTTGACAATATACCACCAGAAATCGGAAGTTTAATTTAATATAGCCTAACTTTAATATAGCCTAACTAAATATAGCCCACATTTATGTAAATGGTAGTTAAGTAAGTAGGAAATGGGAAGCGCTGGTGGTACTGGTTCGCTTTTTGCTAATTTCAAAATATCTTCTAAATAAAAAAATATCAAAATATCTTCTGAGTCTATTCTTCCTCATTCAAGATTTTATTTTATTATATATCTATCGTGTAACAAGTATTTTATATTACATTGTATTAGAGAAAAAGCTTTAAAATATATGTTTCATTTTAAAGAGCAGCTTCACATCAAAAATAATCCGCCGGTTTAAATAATTTCTCACGGTAGGGTTTGTATAATTTGTTTATTTAGTTTTCGTTTGTGACAATTAGAAAGTATCATTAATTTAAGTATATCAAGTAGTTTAAAAGAATTTTTTTTCGAAGAATTTGATTGAATTTCTGTAATCTCAACAGCCAAGGTGCAGCCGTTCGTCCTGTACGTGGTCACTGATGGTACAGAGGTCGGCATCGACGGCTACAACGTGGGCTTCTCCATCGACTACAGAATGCAAGCTTGCTGATCGCAGAGCTGCAATTTATATTTAAATTTCAATTATTTTACCTGCAATTGCCTGTTATTTTATGTTAAGATGCTTGTGATGAGCATGTATGCTATCAGTTACACGCACTGGTTCATATCTAAGATATTTTATAATTGTTGTGTACCGTCCAGAGTGTCCCAAAATCAGGAGAATTGCCTATGTTATTTTAGGTTAAGATGCTTGTGATGCGCAATAAGCTATCACTTATAAGCACTGGTTCATATCTAAGATATTTTATGATTGTTGTGAATAGCGTCCCAAGTGCCCCAAAATCAGAAGAGACGACATACGTAAATATGACATCGTTGTTATTTATTAAACTAAATCTAATGAGAAGAATATGATCTGAATGTTATTTGGCATCGGATTATCATTTACTCTTTTATGCATGGCATTTTGTAATATTTTTTCTGAATTTTCCAAGAATGGTATTTAAATTCTTGCTTCAAGAGAGAAATGAGGTTAAGAGATGACTCGATTTTTAAGCCATACGAAATAATTTTATACGTGCTCAAAAGCCTACACTCAAGAATTGGTGAAGTTATAGGATTATAAATCTTAATATGCGAGTCCATAAAGACAACTAGGAAGCAGAACTATAAATACATTCATGAAAACAAACAGTTTTGATTATTTGCACGGAAAATTTTAAGATATACGGCAATTATCGACATTTGTCCTCGTTTTGTTTCAGTTTATGTTTCAGTACTCGCATCACTGGAATAGTTTTAACTTAACGAGCTTCGACCAATAAACAGAAAACTCTTATAGTGAGAGCAGTTCAAACTTATTACACTTACACATTTCATCATACAATAAAAGTTGTAACTTTCAATTCACATAGCAAAAGAATTTACTTTGAAATTTGGTTTCTACAATAAAACAAACAAATCAGAACAGAATAATTTTTCATAGCCGTGTGAACTGGTTTTGAGAAAATGCAGGTAGTATACGATGCATTCAGATTCAGAAGGTTGCCAATAAATATTCATATATACAGCTTTAAATCATGCATTCTAATAACTATATATAACTAAATAACCCCATAGCACTCAGCTTTTGTTTATGCATTTTCCTGGTTAGAGAGCAAATAATAACAAAATTTCCGAAAGTTTTTTGCTGTTTGTTCTGAGAAAATTACCAGCTGTCAGCGATGTACGAAGGCCACCAGCACAGAACTTCAAGATAATAATCTATTGATTAAGGAAATTATTGTGAAGGAACACATGACTTCACATGGTCTACTTCGTGGTAAACAGGTTCTGTCGTTCAAGGGTCGGCCTTGAGTTAAGAATTATAAGGGTCAACCTATACGAATTTCGCGGAAAAATTGTAGATGAACAAAATATTGCAAAAATTAGGGTCGCTTTAATGGTAAATTAGGATGAATTCGCATATACTAAGTTTAAATGCAGTTGTATAATTAAAAAATTAGAAGATAGTAGAAGTTATTCCAATTGAGTTGCATACAATTTCTTACAGTTACAGCTACATAAATTTATGAAAACAACAGATAGTTTGACTTAATAATCAGATAGAGAGTTCATGAAAAATTAAATTTACAAAACATCGCCTTATGAGATTAAGTAAAACAAAATCAAGGCAAGAATGTGTTGTAGAATATGATCGAAGAAATATATCATAATCTTTTCGCGTGAACTGCACGCCAAAATAAGTATATGCAAGCAGATGTAGATGTTTACGAAACTATTGAGACTGATAATGGATAGATGTACTATTTTCCGCGCTTAGCCATGCAAAATAGGCATTCATAATTATCGGGATAACAGAGTTCCAATTTTGTTTTCTACTTTTCTTTCAATATGTACATGTTGAAATAATCGTTGCTAAGGCTGAACCGCTACAATGTCTGTATTTTGTTTTTAAAGATCCAAAAATATGACTTGTGGAATGCGCCCACCCTGGAACGAGCATGAATTTTCCACATACATTTGCATGATTAAATTGATGCAAATTACAAGACCGTTTTGTAATGTAAAGGTTTTTCATTTCATTTTACGTAATATTTCGAAAAACATTGTGACTAAATTTCACTGAAGCGTTCATTGGTCGGGGGCTTGGAGTACATAGCTTGACTCACAAAACGACCGAGACAGATGATAGAAAATAAATTAATGACTCTGATAACAGTTTCCATATTTCTTTGATTTATTCACTTTATTCACATAAAAGTGAAGTTTTTACTGGTAATTTGTCAGTGTTTGTGACAACGCTTCAACATTATAAAGGTAGAACAAATAAAGCTGTTTTGGATAAATTTGAATACATTTCCATAAAATATGGATATCGTAGTTATTTCCTCATTTGACGACCCGATAAAAATATCCCAGCAAATTCAACTTTTCACCACAAGCGATGAGCTCCCCCAATTGCACGTGTACACTTATTATTTCAAGGGAATATTTAACGAAACAAAATAAAGAATTGTTTTCTGGAATTGCGTTGCATTGATGTTGGGAAAACCACCATCTGCCTTTGATAAAACGACCTCCAACAGGGGTCGCATCGTGAGACATGAAGCCAGTTGGTGTAAGTGGGCCTTACAAAGTGAAGGCAGCTGGCTTTCTATTGTATATTTAAGGGTAGAATAGTTTACATTATTCAGACTTTAAGCAAAGTGGTGCAAGCATTGGGAGCGAGACGTAAAAATTAGGGGGCAGCATAGTGAGTTAAGCGTCGTGTTGGATGCAGCATAGTGAGTTAAGCGTCGTGTTGGGGGCAGCATAGTGAGTTAAGCGTCGTGTTGGGGGCAGCATAGTGAGTTAAGCGTCGTGTTGGAGGCAGCATAGTGAGTTAAGCGTCGTGTTGGAGGCAGCATAGTGAGTTAAGCGTCGTGTTGGAGGCAGCATAGTGAGTTCTTGAGTCTAAACATTTATTCTTATCTTTTGGTTGTAACGAATGTGGCTATAATATATAACAAATAAGAAAGTGAATTTAATATCTAGCGAATATGTAACTTATTTAAAAATATTTATTTATACTGCATAACGTATCTCGAAATGCTCCGTATAAATAACTTGTATTACCTAGTGATGAGCAAAATGTCGTTTTTTTGCAGTGTACTTTGACGTGTCTCCCGGTTTTACGGACGTTAAACTGGATATCAAAACGACAACTACAAATAACAGATGGCAAATTTCTGTAACCCAGATCGACTGTACTTCTTCTTCTTCTCTTCAGGGTAATCTGAAATGACAGAATTATTTCAAGATTATTATTTAAATAAAATTAATTATATATGTATTGCTACAATTAATTGATTCCCGTAATAAATGTTCTGTGAATCAAGAACCAAGAAGAAAAAAAAACAGGAAAAAATGTTCAGAAAATCATATATAAGTGGAAATACCATCTATATTATTCAAATATCAGCTCAATTATTTATTATTTCGTCAGCTCCGAGTGGTTGTCTGCAGTACTACACCGGGAGCACCGGAACCATCAAAAGCTTCAACTACGCGCAGCCAACCGCTACACCAACAGGTGATAAATTATGTATTCAAGAAAATAGTTGTGTATGACTCCACTTGATAATTTTTGGACAATTTACTCAAAATTATCTAAAACTTGCGTCTGTTAAAAGTAGTTAGTAACGAAGGGTTTAATTCTCAATAATTTTAATTACAAAAAATAATGATAAATAAACTGAAAACATTACCTTAGCCTCTGGTAGTTCTAGCGCTTTTCCAGCGGCCATTGCGTTGGATCGCATCCCAGGTACCGATGTGCAATAATTAAAAACACGTACGTGAAGTCATGGGAATTTCTTTTCCAAAAATATTAGCGACGAGAAGAGAATCCAGTCATATTATAAATGCATTTCTTTACAGCCCTGAATTTTCAATATTCAATTTAGACCATTTATGGTGCCTATTGCATGGAGTTTAATGCAAATCTCTTGACGCAGAAAACCGTCAGCTGTCGAACCAAGATTACAAGGTGTGCATCGCAGCGCAGTCGAACGCCTGCAGCGTCACATACAAAAAAAGCTCTAAAGCCCCCAACGACTACAGCTTCTCAATGACTGAAGATTCAATTGCTTTTGATCGTGAGTATAATTTAGTTGGTGTTAGTTATATCAGCACTATATGGCAAAAAGTGGTGATACTAATGCAATTACTGTGATAAATAAGCTAAACGCTAAATTTGGAATTACTGATATTTTATGGGTACCCAATGGAAATTTATGCTTCAAAATCACCTTTATTTATAGAAAATGACCATTTATAAATGCAGCCCCTGGTCCCGGGTTTGTCGGGGCCTCCTGCACCACGGACTATCTGACCATCCCTGGGGCGGTCATCACCGACTCGTGGTCCGTCCTAGACCCGCCGGGCTCCGAGGGTGACACTTTCTGCGGCCTGAATTTCCCTGAATCCGTAAAAAGTAAATTTTTTACACGAATTGTTGGCCTGATAGTGAATAAGGAAATTTTCAGTCGATTTAGATCATTCATTTACCAAACCAAGTCTGTTATTTTTTACAAGTGATATATTTTTATTGGAAAATTGCAATTCAACGCTTCAATAATAATGTTATTCCGGACAATGCGGCAAAAAATAATTGATCTAATTTATTGGCTTCCATTACCTCTTTTGTAGGATAATTATGTCTTGATCTCAATTTTTTGAAGGTACAAGTACTCAGCCCTTCCAGCTACACGTGAAAACCAACAGCAAAGAAACGACCACAGACTGGTTCAACGCAGGATTTTCTCTGGACTATTCACTGAGCGCTTCTTGCTAATTCAGTAATAACGAAAGTCACATGTTGCAATCCATTTCTTTACATTCATCATAAGAGGCAATTAAGTCGGTGTCAAATGATTCTTCGTCTTTATTATTAAAAGAAAAAGCAAGTGGGAATGATTATATTTTTATTTGAATGTAACTGAATACGTTTGATCATTGAACGAAATTACTTCAATGAAAAATTTTTCGAGCATTAACGAAATTCTTTTGCATCGAAAGTTCCTGGATATAATTAAAAAATTATCTTAATTGATATTCCTTTAAATCCCCAGCATATCTGGCAGGTGGGAGCTTCTTCGTTTATCATTTTCTTGGAAACTACTGGGCAAGGCTGACATTCTATTTTCGTCTTGCTCAGTGAATGTTGTCTATTGAGAAGTTTATTTACATTAATGACCAATCAGTTGCAAATCAAGTTCCAGTCCTTGAAAATGATCTTTGGCTTTAAAACCAGAAGTCTTCACTAAATGAATAAAATTTCCATTCACTCTGGCTATACATGAGCTCCACCCGGACTTCACTGGAGCTTCGCTATAGCTTCACTCGGACTTTGATTGCTATCCTTATACTACATAATATCACGAATACCTCCTGGATAATCAGATACTACCACTTATCACGGATACTCTTTGGTATTGTGGTTATAACCCGGTAATAAATTGTGTCAATCAATTTCATTCAAGTCACTTGGGACCGGGGACTGAAATCATTTAAAGGAGTAGTAATAAATAACTCATAATAATTGAACGATAGGAACTGATTACTTAAATTTAGAACAACACTTATTCAACCCGAAAGTGCATGCACGATTTTCGTGTCCTGAATGAATAATCGTATTTTCGTCAGGTATCTGTGAATATGGAGGCTGCTCACAAATATTCTCATAACGATTGGCTGAACATTTAAATGCGTAAGAATAAAAAAATTTGACATAGATAATTTGTTCGTGATCGCTATTTAATCATGATATATTAATAAATATGTTCAGTTCAAAGATGGAAGGAGGGAATTACTATTTAGCTTAAAATATTATAATATTCTGGCACCCGAAGTCGAACTGATAATTGCTTTCCATCTGCCTCTCTAAGGGGACCGGCTACCCCTAAATTTTCAATTTTGGCGTTTTCCGGTTTTTGTGCTCATCTTAAAGCTTACTTTCTGACGCATCGAACGGTACCAGAATCATCTCTCTACGTTGAAAAATGATTTCGTGACAGCTCCCCAAAGGGACGCGGTTTTGAGGGCCCTTCAGTAAAGTCTATGGGATTAATTCGAAGGCTGGACACACTAAGAAGGAACGTCTGACGTAAAGCGGCCAATTAAGGCATTATCCGGTGCTTATACTCATCTTAAAGCTTACTTTCTGACGCGTCGAACGGTACTAGAACCATCTTTCTACGTGCATTTTTACGTACACGATGAGAAAAATGAGAAAAAAATGAGAAAAATGGGAAAAACGCGCATAAAAAAAACTATGGGGAAAATGAGAAAAGTGATCACAGAGTCGTTTGTTATGGTCTTTACAAATCGAATGATACGTGTCTCGATGTTGTAGGATGATATTTGTAGGAGGCGATAGATTTTCTAAAGTACCCCTTTTTAGCCGTTTTCTATGAATTTCACGTTTTCTATCAATTTTTTTCGAAAAATTCATATGTGCAAAATGTTATTGTTTTTACATTTTACGTATGTATGTGAAGTTTCATGATCGGATAATAACTGTAGAAGTTTTTCCGGAGGGTAGCCGGTCCCCCTAAGTGGACGCTGTAGTCGCCGAGTTTTTCTGAAAAATAAATGACTTAGATTCATGCACCTAACTGCTTCAAACTTTTAATTGTTGGTTTTTTGGTTATTTTTTTTAAATAAAGTAGTCAGAGTAAGTATTTAAGCCGATGGAACATGAATAGCTAGCCATGAATATACACAGACTAGACAAAAGATGATTGGTATGTCGTCAATAAAGTATAAATCGCCACCATCAAATAAATACACTAAACGAAAATTAATAAGAAAACTCAAAAAATTTTCATGAGCATAAATCATCTTATTATTCAAAAACCAACAGCTTGTATTTCTTATAAGCTTTATATCGTTCATATCTGCTGGAAGGCGATCTGGTAGTGGCTGCGCCAGTGTTGATGGCAGGGCATATATAGACGTGGCTCACGGTTCCAGCCGCTATT